ATTTATTTATTTATCTATTTGTTTATTTATTTATTTATATATTTGCATATATGCATATATATATATATATATGAATCTAATACTATGACACGCATAGCCGCCTCAAAGCTTCGAGTGCAGAGGCAGCACGTGATGTAGCACCTGCGCCAGGGATTCGAAGGAATGGAGGCACCAATGGAGGGGGATGGAGGCAACACAAACGTCTACAAGCGGTTTAGGGTTTAGGAGGAAGGAGCCGAATGTTCATGATTAACGCTGTGAAAGGTTTCGTGTGTTCCCGGTCTTGGGAAAGCTCAGCTAGGAGGTTTGCCCGGCGCCAAGACGCCTTGCGCAGGATCTCACGGACCGCAGAGAATCAGAACTGGGTTGAAGCACTGTCATCAAAAGATGTTGTTAAGCGACAGACCATAAGCAAACGAACACGACAGGTGAGCATCGCTAGCATCAGCACCAACGTTCACCCGTTGCGGGCGGGCATCATGAGCATGCGCTGGGGAGGCACGCGCAACAGTCCAATATCATGAACATGAGTTTGGAAAAGATCAGGCACCCTAGCAACACCAACCCTTCTGCCAGTACGGCCCTCAAAGGTTTAGCTCAAAGCAGGCGCAAACCCCCAGACGCACCGGAAGCTGCAACTAATGTCAGTGTGAGACAGATTGAAGCTGAGGCACGAGACGTTTTGAGAACAAGATCCTATGCATCAGTGTTGAGGATTAGAGCCGCTGGTCAGTAAACTCGGTGTGCAACAGCCATATAATAGCATGAGCCTCCATCACATTGGATATATTAGATGAAGGTGCTCAGTTCAACATCGGAGTGTCCCGAAACAAAAATCCGACACTACTGCAGAAATCAGTAGCCGAACTAAACAAAGCACTCATCAGCTTTACACTTTGATGCAGCGACGGACATGCTTTCCGACCATCCCTTCTGCAACACGTGATCGATTGCAACAGGTGATCGATGTCGGCAGCCACTGTGGAGACTTAGGAAATCAAGTGCCTGATCTAGACCACACACAGTACCAGCTATCTATATATACATATATATATATGTATACATATGCGTATATTCATATATGTCATGTATGTCATGTATGTATGCATGTATGTACGTATGTATGTATGTATGTATGTATGTATGTATGTACATCTATATATATATATATATGTGTGTGTGTGTGTGCGTGTGTATGTACGTATATACACATAGGCACCCGAACCCTAAACCCTAAACTCTAACTTGGCATAAGGAACCCTTAACCCCCTTTTGTAGGTTCTTAGTATAGACCCTAATATGGGATTTATAGGGACCCTACAAAAAAGTAGGTTTTGGGTTCTTAAGGTAACCCCCCCCAACCTTCAGAAGCGCAAGGTTCGACGAAGCCGTCTGAGGCCCTGGCTTGCGGTCAGTTTCTTCTCTAGCCTCGCTCAGCCATGAACTGCCAATATACTATAATACCCTAAACCCTAAACCGTTTTGGGTTTAGGGTTTAGGGTTTTTGGGTTTAGGGTTTAGGGTTTGGAGCTTAGGGTGTTCATCCTCTGTCTTGTTCGAATGCGGCTTTCACGAAATCGCGGCTCAGCGTGGTTCATGGTTTCATGTCCCACAACTCGGCCACTGCAAGCGATGCAACTGAGTCCAACCGTCTCCGAACGCAGGGTACTCGCTGAGTCTGAGTCACGCCCGCATCTGCGGCGTGCTCAGATAACAAGTGCCCTAACGTCTTCATTAATGCTCAGAGTGGGAGGAAAGGCTACATCAGAAAGCACACCGATCAACACACCGTGGCTTGTCTCTTTAGACTAGCTTCGGATATAGAGCGGCTTTCCCTGTAATGAAAGTAGTCACGGTCATGTCGTCAAAATCAAAGACAACGATGGTTGTAGTTACACTACGACGAGCGTCTTGGCCCATTCAAAACCATTCAGAGGACTCGAGCATGTCAGACGGCCACGAAGTCCGGTAGTTCTCGGAACATGTCAGAGCCGTGGGCGGATCACACGATGGTACCCATCGGCTTCCCAACCACAACGGCCGCACCGTGATTCCCCTCATCCTTTTGGATTGAATCCAACATCCGTGCCGTGTGCCGGGCCTGACATCGGAGAGCCCACAATGATGTCCCAGCAAGTGTCACTGAACCACAAATCCAGAGAACTGAGCCAACATCATCGGCTATAAGACTCGTTGTCCACAAGCCAACAGTGAACAAGGCGCTGAGCAGAAATGCCACCACAATGCTTGTCAGCCTGTTCTGCCAAGCACAGCCCTGCACATGGCGCAAACACTTGACAGGAAGCAATGTCGCTTGAAGGATCAACGGAAACAGAAAAAAACACCAGGTCAGACCGCGGGAAAACAGGATTGCGGCTACCTTCCAGTTTTCGACACGCCCGCGCGCCGCCATGCTATCTGCAAAGCCCCAGAGGATAGGCGAGGCAACAATAACTTGCCAGCCATACGGAAATACTAATCCACCCAGCTGGCGGCAGAGCATGGTCCTGACGCGCGTCCTTACAGTCGCCTCGAAGGCGTCGACAGATCCGTACCACATTCGAAGGCATCTGCTCATGATCGCACGATCGCAAACATTGGCATTACACGGCTCTCCATCGTTGCAGCAATGACAGCGGGCACCTTGGACGGTAAAGTCGGAAAGCTCTTTGAGCATACTCTCCGTGTTCCGATAATGCTCACACAGATAGAATGCGGCGATGTAGAAGAAGAACCATCGCGTCAGAAAGAGTACGAGACGGTCCGCCAGAGTTTGCTCGCTCACCAACATGTGATGTATCGTTGAAGCCCAGATGGCAAAGCCAAAGCCCAAAATGCAGGGAGCCATGGCTGTGGCTCTGATGGTAACTTTCCTTTCTGGCTCTTCATGACTTGTCAGGAATCCTGCCAGCTCCAGCAAGCACCATAAGCGCCTTCCATACGTCTTGTCCCAAACAACCAGAAGTTGCTCGGAGTACTTCAGAAAGGCACCGATGCTCATAATCCCCTTGGCCTTTTGCTCTGCATCTTTCCTAGGCTGGCCCCTCAAAGCCTCTGAAAAAATATTCGTAAACAAGATCCTCTTAAGCCCAATAAAGAAAAATATAAAATGTCCCAAAGGCCTACCCAGTTTCTGGTTGATACATACCTGGTCCAAGAAGACCAAACTCCTCGGCTTCCCGAGCAGAAGAACGACCAGGAAGACAAGCCCTGCCGTCACCGTACACCATGGACCAAACTCCATGGCTACTCCTGGGGGTTTCCGAAAATAGGGGACCCTAATATAGTACCCCACACAATAGGATCCTTATTATAAGGACCCCAAAATAAGGTACCCCTAATTTTCGGAAACTCCCTCCTCTGTCTGGTGCTTAGTAGGGAATGGGGGAATGGGTTATAGGGACTACTATAAGGGACCTTAAGGGACTATCATAGGGATCCATCCCCCGATTCCCTGCTAAGCACCAGACAGTCCTTGGTCAAGTGCTGATCTGCCGACTCGCCGCACGCCCGGTAGGAACCCGGCAATCTGCAAACACATCATCAGCAAAGCCGAGATCGTGGCAGCGATTGCTGCCGCAGGCCCGTTGTACAGTAAAAGCAACAGCAGGATCTTCATGTATTTGTCGCCATGCCAGCTATGGCTCCAGAAGACTTGAATGGAATCAACAGGAAAGCTCCACTCGTAAAGATTGTCGTCGGTCCACCTGAAGGCAGCACCGAAAGATTCAAACACTTTCCTTAGTTGCTGAGTTCATGAGCACAAGAAAGTCTACACTTTCAGTTCTTTCAGGGATCATAATACCATCCCAAAACGTATAAAGTGTACTCATCCTGTTACTAAGTTGCCATGCAGGAGTGGCTCTGAGAATGCTTCTGTCCGCAGGTTCCATGCTGGCCACTCGGTTGGCTAAGTGGGCAACCATGGGGTGCTCATCATCGAGGAACTGCGCCTCAACTTCTCCGGCAACTGCCATGGCCTCTTGCGAGGTCACTAACAGTCTGAGGACAAAACTCAACCAAGAAAGGTCAGGGTTTTGGGTTTAGGGTTGTGG